TGGAACAGTAGTTCCTGTCTCATGATCGTGATAGCTATGTGCACAGTGCCTGGTGCACTAATTAGCAAACGTTAGTTCTCTTCCTTTCATAATTCTGTTGGCCAATGAAAGGAGACAGTATTAGTAAAATTCTTGGCATTCATTAAAGGGTACATCCTTATCCCACACAAATTCCTTCCATGTAGTTCTACCATAGGAACATCTAAGAACAAGAAAGGGGAGAGCGCCCTAAAGCACAATCGTGTGCTTTATTTTTAGGGTTGCTCGTCTCCTCTGTGTGCCTCTTTCCTTTGCTTTATATAGTTCTTTGAACTTGGCACCGGCTAGGTTTCCTGCAGCTTCACCTGGCGTCAGAGAGCTCCCAAGACCCCAGAAGCAGCTGCTGCGAGTGCTGGTGCCCTGCAGACTGCCATCTGGCCCTCTGCTCTCGTGGGAAAGGGAGCTGATGCATTCATACTTGCAGAACTACTGATGGCTTTCATTTTTACAGTTCATTTTAAAACATGCTCATAACTACCTTTCATTTTAATAAAGTTAGCTCTCTCAACTGCTTTAGATAAAAAGAATTTGGAGGAACAAGAAACCAACAGTAGTAAGGACAGCAGTTTTCTTTCCACCAAAGAAATTCAGGATCTGGAAGACACAGAGAGGTAACAGAAAACTAAACTTTTGAAAGGATTTTAAAATTGCACTTGTGTATATTTGTTTTTATTATATTAACAAATAATAAGGAACAGAACAATTATTTTCTTTATTCTCCTTGCTTCATGACCAGGATTTTTGTTTTACATTAGCATGTATTAATTGTATATAATAAGTTTCATGTGTCTTTTCATACATGTATATAATGTATTTTTATCAAGTTCGTTTTTCTTTACCCTCTTTTGTCTCTCGCCTGCTCTCATGAACCTAACTAGTTCCCTTCTACTCTTGTGTCTTCTTTGGAGGGTGCATGACCTAATGAGTGTTTCTTATAGGACCACGGGTGAGGGATTATTTATAGGAACATGAACGCTTTGTCAGTGACTACACCGCTGAAGAACATGTCTCTCCTCTCCCAGCAATAATTAACTGTCTATAGATCCAGGACTAGATGGAGGCTTGTGAGCCCCTTCATCCTAGTTACACTTTGTGATTAAAGTACGTATAATATACGATCATCTTTCTTAACAAATTGAAAGTGCACAGCTCAATGTTAATTACATAGCTAATCATATAGTTGCCATCCATGATGATGCACTTAAAAGTTTTTGAAATAATTTTTGTTTGTTTTTGTTTTTTTTGAGACAGGATCTCAATATGTAGCTCTGGTTGCCCTGGAACTCACTATGTAGACCAGACAAGATCACAGAGATCTGCCTGACTCTGCCTCCTGAGGATTAAAAGCATGTACCTTGCCTGAAATAATTTCTGTAATTTTTTTTATCACATTTGAGTATGTGTCTGTCTTTCCAGCCCCTCATTACACTTTGTTCTTATTTGCACCCACACTACTTTCCTTTATCTGTCTTCCTCATCTTTTGCTGCTCCTTTTCCATCCCCTTAATAGTCCTTCCCTCTACTCTCACGCCCCGTACATTCCTTTGCCCTTTCTTGTTCATGAGCCCCCATCCTTAAACCTCCTTCCTTACAGTCCCCTTCTATTTTTGTAACACACACAGAGACATTTAAATATAGTTTTACATGTGAGAGGAATACATGAAATGTTTGTCTTAATATAATGATTTCAAGGCTCTATCCACTTTTTTGCAAATTTCATTCTTTTTTGGCTTTTTCTAGACAGAATTTCTCTGTAACTTTGGGACCTGTCTTGGAACTAGCTTTTGTAGAACAGGTTGGCCTCGAACTCACAGAGATCCTCTTGCCTTTGCCTCCTGGGTGCTGGAATTAAAGGCATGTGCAACCATAGCCCAGCCAAATTCCATTCTTTTAAAAGATAGGTGGGGGAGGGGAGGAAGGAAGGAGGGAGGGAGACAGAGAAAGACAGACAGAGAGAGAGAGAGAGAACACACCATAGTGTTCATAGGGCGGAACTTGAAAGAAGAAAACTCGTGGGTGCTGGGTCTCTCCTTCTACCATGTGGGTCCTAAGGATTGAACTTAGCCAGTCAGGCTTGAATGACAGACATCTTTATCTGTTAAGCCATCTAACTGGATCTTATTCTTCTTTGTGGAATGTATGCTTATCACTTCTTTTGTTTGCGACAGGGACTGACACTGTCACCCCACCTGGATTTGAACTTGTGGCAGGCCTCCTGCCTTAGCCCCGGGGGTGCTGGAACTGCAGGCTTGATCCATCACAGCTGACTTCACTTTTCCCCCAATTTTTTCTGTTGATACGTTAGGCTTGTTTTGAGGCCATGCTTTCAATTTTGTAAAGATTTGTTATTTTTGTGTATGTGTATGTACCAGTGATGTACATCGTGTGCACTCAGGTGTCTGAAGAAGTCAGAAGGGAATTGTATCATCTGACTCTCGGATTATAGGTAGTTGTGAGTCACCACATGGGTTCTGAGAACTGAACTCAGCTCTTCTCTAAGAGCAGTTAAGTACTCTTAACTCCTAAGCAGTCTTTCCAGCCCCTTGCTTTCAATTCTTTTGATCCATACCCAGAAATGATACTTCTAGATCATATGGTAAATCTATTTTTAATTTTTAAGTAACTGTCATACTTATTTCCCTTGTAGTTGTATTATAGAATGCTCTCATTTGTCATGTACAAGAGTTCCGGCTTCTGCTTGTCTTTGACACTTGCTGTTTCTTTCTCTCTGATACTGGCCAGCCTATAATATGAGGGGATGCCACATTTGATTTTCATTTCCTAATGAATAGTTGTTATATTGGACTTCTTAGTAGAAATGTTTATTAGAGGGGCTGGAGAGATGGCTCACTGGCTTAGAGATTTTGTTGCTGTTGCACAGGATCCAGGTCCAGTTCCCAGCACAGTTCTGGACGCTTACAAAAGCCCCAGGGGATCTGACATCCTCTTCAGACCACCATGGACACTGTATGACATGATGCACACACAGACATGGGCAAACATTCATAAACATAAAACGCTAATGCTCTAATGTTCATTAGACTTCTTTGTTCATTCTTTGGTAGTGATTTGTTTTTATTTTGGTTTGCTGGGTTTTTCTTTTTCTTTTTTTTTTCATTTTTTAAAAATTTATTTATTTATTGGAAATTTCCACCTCCTCCCATTTCCCTCCCACTCCCCCCACTCTCCCTTCCCCTCCCTCTCCAGTCCTAAGAGCAGTCAGGGTTCCCTGCCCTGTGGGAAGTCCAAGGACCTCCCTGCTCCATCCAGGTCTAGGAAGGTGAGCATTCAAACAGACTAGGCTCCCACAAAGCCAGTCCATTTTTGTTTTTCAAGACAGCGTTTCTCTGTGTAGCCCTGGCTGTCCTGGAACTAGCTCTATAGACCAGACTGGGCTTGAACCCAAAGATTCTCTGCCTCCCAAGTGCTGGGATTAAAAGTGTGTGCCTCCACCACCACCAGGCCTAGTTTTTTTTTAAACTTTATTTCATGAAGCAAACAGGTTTTAGCTTATTTCAGAAGATTTTACTCAAAGGTATTGGAAGAAACCTTTTGTTATTTATGATTACTAAGAAAAATTTGGGTGTCATCTGGACCTCAAGAAACCAGCATTTGGTCCTGACCAGAAACCCTCTTTACCTGTGTTGTAGTGTGGCCACCTGAGCTCACTCCCTTTGCCTCTTGACAGAAGAGGTGAGTCATAGATGCTTGAATGAAAGGCTAAAGGGGCACCAAAACCCCAGCAGCCAATAGAAGTAATTAAAATGGTTTTTAAAGAGTTATTTCTTTTATTGCACTCATATATACACACATACACACAGAGTATTGTGAGTATATGTCTATGTACTACATGCATGCCTAAGGCCTACAAAGTTCCGAAGAGTGCATTGGATCTCCTGGAAATAGAGTTACAGATGGTTGTGAGCCACCATGTGGGTGCTAGGATTCAAACCCAGGTATTCTGTGAGAGCAGCAAATGCTCTAAACTGTGGAGGTTTGAATAGGAATGGCCCCCATAGACTCATAGATTTGAATGCTTAGTCAACAAGGAGTGAGGGGCACTATTTAAAAGGCCTTGTTGGAGGAAAAGTGTCACTTAGGGTGGGTTTTGAGGGTTCAGAAACCCAAGTCAGGTCCAATGGCTCTCTTCTTCCTGGTACCTGTAGATCCAGATCCAGAGCTGTCAACTATTTCTCCAGCACTGTGTCTGCCTGCATGCTGCCATGTTTCCTGTAATCACGCCCCAGTTAAAGGCTCTTTATAGGAGCTGCTGTGGCACAGTGTCTCTTCACAGCAATAGAATACTGACTAGACACCCTCCCTCTGGTCTTAGGTAATGTTTTATATAATTTTAAAAAAGATTGAAGTTGGGGTTGGAGAGATAGCACAGAGGTCAAGAGCACTGGCTGCTCTTCCAGAGGACCCCAATTGTATTCCTAGCACCCAGCTAACAGCTGTCTGTAACTCCATTTCCAAGGGTTCTGACACCTCATACAGATATACATGCAAGCAAGACACCAATGCACATAAAAAATAAAAGGAATTTAAAAAAGATTGAAGTCAATGCAGACTAGTTCACAATGAACAGAATAAACTTTGAAAAGAGACAAGGCTTAGATCTGCGGTGGCACTTGCTCCTTTCCTCGTCCTACTGCTGATCTTGGTCCCGCATCTCCTCAGGAAAGCCATACACAGTTGTTTCAGCAGCAAAGAACAGAAAGTCCCACTGCCATGGTTAAAGGAGTTTTTCTCATTTAACAAGAAGTTCATGGGTGGAAGGCACTGCGAGTGTCATTCCGCCTGAGACAGACTTTTTTCATTTTTCTGCTCTATTTCCTGTGACATGTTGGCCTTTGCTCTGGCTTTATTTTTTCTGCCTTTCCCCCCAAACCTGTCTCCTGGTGACAAGATGGATTTTGTTAACACAAAGGCAAAGGTAAAAAGAGGGTCAGACAAAGTAATATGTTACTGGCATCCATCTTCTTTTATTTGGGAAGTAAAACCCTTCCAGAAGTTTCCCAGCAGACAGTCACTTATATTTCGTTGGCTAAACTGGAATCCAGCATTTGTCCCACTCTGATAGGCTAAATCATTCTTTTCAAGGAAGGATGAGAGAAACCTAAAACATTTGCAAAAGGAGATGAGTCTTAAGAGCCGAAACTTTTTTTTTCTTTCTTTCTTTTTTTCATTTTTGGTTTTTTGAGACAGGATTTCTCTGTGGCTTTGGAGCCTGACCTGGAACTCGCTCTGTAGACCAGGCTGGCCTTGAACTAACAAAGAATCTGCTTGCCTCTGCCTCTCGAGTGCTGGGATTAAAGGTGTGTGCTACCACGAGCCAGACTAGGCTTTCTATTTGATCCCCAGCACCACATAAACTGTAGGGACACATACCTGTAGTCCTAGCATTCAGAAGGTAGAAGTGGGAAGGTCAGAAGTTCAAGACCAGCTTTGGATGCATAGCCAATTAAAAGCCAGCCTGGGCTACATGAGATCCTGTCTCAAAAAAGTTACTGTTATTTCTTCCCTTTTTGACATCTATTTCTGTCTTTATTTGTGGAGGATGGTGGTGTGGCCATGGCACACACGTGGATGTATCAGAGAATAGACTGCACCATGTGAGTCGCAGGAGTCTGACTCAGGTCCTCAGGCAAACACCGCTACCCACTGAGCTGTCATTCCTGGAGCTAGCCAACCTGACCTGGGATCCCCATGTCTGCCCTCTAAATTCTGTGGTTACAGGTGGTCTGGCTTTTATGTGGGTTCTGGGGGTTCAAACTCTGATCTTCATGCTTATTTGAAAAGTACTTCTTTACTGAACCCTTCCCCAGACCCTTTGTCTTCATTTTTCAAAATGGCTGGCAGTGCTACCCACAAACAGGTCTCTCCCAGTGCTCAGGTGTCTCAGTGCTATGTGAATGGTTAGTCCTAGATACTACTATAGAATGGAAGATCTTTTTTCAGTTGGAAAGTGTACATTTTAGGCTTTCTTTTTTATTTTTTTTCATTTTAGGCTTTCTAAAAATACCTTTTATCTTCTATCAAAAGTAATTCAGAAAAACACATAAAAGCATGTACAATTAAAACCTCATATAGAAACTGAATTAATAACCTATAATTGAGACAGTTGGCATTGGAGGGAGTGATCTCATGGGTGCCAGGGTTTTGTCAAGGAGCTAATGGACTATTTGAGTGTCTGTATAAGTTAGATACAGGTGACCTCCAGGAGTCCAGACACAGTCTCACACCGTATGCTCTCAGCTCTTGTGAAAGCCCCGGATTTGAGGGCCCTTTACCGTGCAGTGATGTGCTGTGAGAGAAAATGACTCTTGTCACCTTTCTCTTTACTTGCTCCTGGACAGAGCTCATTCTTCTCTTGATGAGGACCTGGAAAGATTGCTGCAGTCACCTGAGGAGAACATGGCCCGGCTGGACCCTTCCAAGGGCTCTACAAGGTTGTCTTTCCCCATTAAGGAATCATTTTCTTAGGTTTCACAGAGAAAAGAACATACAAAGTGTTATGTACCTAGGGCATAGAACTCCATAGAATGAGGCTCCCAGTTCCTGTCTTTTTTTTTTTTCTTCAGGAAGTAGCTAGGCTTTCGGCTTATTGGAGGACGATTGTCCGGTGACGGCTCTGCACAGCTGTAGCTCAGCCAGGCCTGACTTCATTTGTCTGCATGCGCACACCTGCCTCTCTCCCTCCCACCACCTACTCTCCAAGACCCCAATTAGGAGACTGATATCGGAGCTATAATACTGGATTTAGCCCAGTGTCTTTAACATTTTCATCAGTCATCTGAGTTAAATCAGAAAGGCATATATAACTAGTTTCCAGATAACCCAAATCTAGAAGTGAATGCTAATGTGACAGGCGATAGACTTAAAATCCAAAATTTTATTTTGACAGGTGCAAATGTTAACCACTCTAAAAGATAAAGACAAAGCCAGACATGGCTGCTGCAATAACCTGTAGTTTCAGTTATTCAGAAGTCTTAAGGGGGATGATTGTTCGAGCCCAGAAGTTCAAGGTCAGCCTAGGGACATAGGGCTACAAATGGCAAGTTTTAGATCCAAAAGTATACAGTGTGGGAAAGAAGACCTAACTTGATAATTTTTTTATTGGAAATTCTATTTACTGTAATTATGTTGAGGGCAGGAAGTCCATATGCCCAGCACTTAGTTTCTGAAAAGGTCCATATAGCATTAATGCAGGGTACACAGAAATGAATTGTTCAGATCAAGGAAGTGCACCAGGGGTAACAAATGTGCTGTGGGCGGGCTCCTAGGACACATTTCTAATGGATGTTAGTAGTCCACAGAGAGGACACAGAATAGTCACAGTCTGGAAACCAGGTCATGTGAGAACACCTGAGGAGCCAGGGCGACTCAGCCTGAAAAGAGCAGATGAGTGGAGAATTTGATAGCTTCCCTAAATGCCTGAAATGTTATCAAGTGAAGAGAAATCTACTTAATGTCTCCACCCCAAAGGCCAGAGCTGGTGACTAGATGTTGCAAAGTAACAGACTTTTCACTAGTGAAGCACAAACTTTGCGATAATCACAGCCATTGCAGAGAGGAAACAGCCTTTCCATTTCAACAGAAGCTGCAGCTGCCCAGGGGACTGGATGACTCTGTGGTCTTGAGTGTTTGGGCAGAAGTAGAAGATAAAGGCCTTTGCCTCTGATTGTGTTAATGAAAGTTAAGCGAGAACAAGCCCCCTTTGCTCTAGAAGACTCTGTCCCCTCCCATCTAGAGGGGTGGCTGTTTCTGTTCTCAAGGAGAATGTGGCTTTGAATTGTAAGATGCTTATTTAGACTTCCCATGTCACAGGGAGCTTGAGGGATATAAAGACAAGGTGATAATTTCAAAGAGAATGTTGATTATAAGGGAAATATTCTTTTTGTCCTTTGAGGCTAGCTATGTATGTCTAATGACTGAAAACAGAGTTTGATTGCATAGGCTATCTGGGTTAGATCTTAACTCTAGAACTTCTTCGTATGTCATTTCCCATGTCTTGGTTTTCACATCACACAATGTAGATGGGTAGCAGGAACTGCTTCATACAGTTCTGAAAATGAAGTGAGTTTACATATGTTTAAACTAACCTTGTTGGCATAGTGACACATGCCTTTAATCCCAGCACTCTGGCGACAGGCATGCAGATTGCTCTGAGTTCAAGGCCAGCCTGGTTTATTTAGTGAGTTCCAGGGCAGTTAGGCCTATATTGGGAAACCCTGTCTATAAATAAAATAAGTAGATAGATAAGTAAATAAATAATTAAAAATAAAATAGGAATTAAAGGTAAACAACTAAAAACCAAAAATACATAAGTAAATATACTAACACTTGACCCTGTAGGAACATCCCATCAGTACTAAGTACTCTGTGTTTACTTTGGAGCACAGTCTTGTTCCCCTGATAGTTATGTATGTGTTTAATGCCTCAAATCATTTGTCATTAAAGGGAGAAAGAACCCAAAGATCAAGACGTTGTTGATCAGAAGAAAGAAAGGAAAGAAAGCATCAGTCTGGAGAGAAGGAAATCAGACAGCGTTTTAGGGGTTTTGGAAGAAGGTATGGATGGATGACTGTTGTGTAGTGTGGTGTCATATCTTTTTTCTTAAACTTCAGTTCAGCATTTCTGAGAATTGCCAATCATAACTTCATCACAAAACAGTAACATCATCAAAATTTGGGGTTTTTTTTCCTCTTTGGTTTTTGTTTTGTTTTGTTTTTCCTTTTCCCCAAGACAGGATTTCTCTTTGTAGCCTCGGCTGTACTAGAACTTTAGAGCAGGCTGGCCTTGATCCATCTGTCTACCTCTCAAGTGCTGGGGTTAATGGTGTTTTGCCAGCACTGCCTGGGTGTTCTTTAGTTCTGTGAGACAACAGTTCACTCTGGCCTCACTCAGCATCTAAAAGTCAAAGCAGTCCTGTCACCTACCAGTGCTAGGATTGTGGGCACAAGCCAACACTCCTGGCTTTTCACTTCTATTTCTAAAACAAGCCATGGGCCAGCCTCAATTTGTTCATTGTCTGTAGAGCTGTTTTGCATTTAAATATATTCAAAAGCATTTTAAATTTAAACTGAGTGTGGTGATGCATGCCTCTGCACTCAGGAGGTAGGAGCAGGAGAATAACCCACAGATTTCAAAACCAACTAGGGATACCTTGCCTAAAAACAAAACAAAAATCAAGGGCTTTGAGGTTTCTCAGTGGATCTTGCCACCAAGCCTGAGGGACCTAGGTTTGATCCCCAGAAGCCACATAGAGAAAGTAGCTTCCCATCTGCAGTAAGCTGTCTTCTAGCCTCCATAAGCATGTGTGTGCACGCATGCATGCACACATACACATAAATGAAAGATAACATTTTAAGAGTTTTAAATTTAGCTCACGTCGGTACTGAAGAAATTATATATTACAGAATTTAAATGAAGTTTAAAAGTTATGTAAAAGTTATAAATTAACCTTTATTTCAAAGCTATTCTAATAGAATGTCAGGCTTCTGATGCCTTTACAAGTGAACTCCTGTGTTTATTTTACCCGGAGTGAGATAGTCACCCTTTCAGGTCATCTGGTCTTTGCATCCCATCCCTCGTCCCTTTTCATTCTCCTTCTCTGCCCTGTTTTATGTCTAGGATGCAGACCCTATGGACTGCATCTCCTTGGCTTTCTGTTAGTCGAGGGGGCCCAGGCAGAAGATCAGAGGGCAAGAGAATTGTTCATCACTTCCCTCCCCTACCTACTTGGGCACCTCGTGCCTGGTAGCCATGGTGTCCCTCCACAGGTGTCCTATCTTTCCCCACTCCAGTTCCTGCTCCAGTTTCCAGGAGCCACCCCGTCCCCACTGCTCAGCTGCCGTCCACCTCGGCCTCCCGCAGCTACCAGCCAGTAGATGCCTTGTCAATCCTTGTTTGTTCCCTTGACTCTAATTATACCTTTGTGTATAGCCACTTTGTTAAGAAATCTTTATCTGTACTAGTTTGTATACATTTTATTTCCTCCAGAACTCTGATTGGCATAGGGCCCAGAGTATATGGACATTTAGCCAAGATTGAATTCTCTGAGAAGATAACTCAGGGAATTTGGAACGGTCATGCAGGGACTTTTGAATTAGTGTC